ATGTAAATAGACACTGAAAACTAATTATTGTGTCTGAGTACTTTCTTCAACTAGGACCTGAAGACATAGTGGATGGATTCCTGCTTTAACCAGGCTAACTTTGACAGGTTTTAACCCTGATTAGAATGGTATGGTTTAGTGTGTCACATGATCCCATGTTTGGTGAATTTCTGATTCCGTGTATAGTGCGAAGTCAGAAAACGGGTTAATTTTTAACCAGATCAACCACATTAGAGGAAGTGTTTCCAAATGTCTTTTGTCTCCAGCTCAATATGATGTTGTCTGCAGCAGGAGGTAGCATGTGGTCAATCTTGACTAATCTAAAAAAAAAAAAAAACCAGAACCCTAAATGAACCTGAATCTGGGTAGTTTGATGGGGAAACTTCAGGGCTGTAAACTGGAATGCAAAGTCAAAAAGTTTTCCAGAAAAAGGCAACCCCAAGCCACTTCTGTATTGTTGCTTCCAAAACCTACATGGATGTCTCCATGAATTCATCAGGAATTGAACTCAATTTGAGGGAATCTTTACCTACCTGCCCTGATTTTCTTTTCCATTGTGGTCACTGGCTCTCACCCGCAATACTGCAGGGTTTCCCAGAACTACTGCACTGCTCTGTGATGATAGGAAAAGGCTGGAAAATGTGTCGTCTCTGTTCTCTCTAAGGTGTGCGTGCGCGTGTGCGTGCACACACTACTTGTCAAACTGTGCATATGGTTAAAAAGTTGAGGGCAGACAAAATTAAGCTACCTCATAATAAAATAATAAAATAATAATAATGATCATCATGATCATCATGATCATCATGATCATCATGATCATCATCATCATGATCATCATGATCATCATCATCATCATCATGATCATCATGATCATCATCATCATCATCATCATCATCATCATCTTATGAAAAAAAGAAATCGTGGAGCCCTTGGAACAATACCTAAAGGACTCCCTCGATGTTTAGAAATTTTGAATTGATCAGACCTGAACACCCTAGAAAGCAGGAGATGGTGAGTTCTAGTCTTGCCTTAGGCGTGAAAGTGGCTGGGTGACTTTGGGCCGGTCCTTCTCTCTCAGCCCAACTCACCTCACAGGGTTGTTGTTGTTGTGGGGAAAATAGGAGGAGGAAGGAATATCAGGTATGTTCGCTGCCTTGAGTTATTTATAAAAAATAACAAAGGTGGGATTAAAAAATCCCCCCCCAAAAAAAAGTGGGGGGAGAGGGGCTATCTAAATGGTTTTTGTATAATGCTTTTCTTTTTTTTCTTTTTTTTTAAAAAAATCTTTCATTTCAATATCAAATGCACCCCCTCCCCAGAAATAATTGTAAACGCTTACAAAATATTGATTGCAAGGATCAGTTATCCATGATTAGTGAGCTTATATCGTAATCTGTAAGCACGCATCTGCCAATTTGTCATATGCATAAAACTGAGATATGCATAAAACTGAAGATTAACTATATTCATTTTCTTAGGCAATACAAACAGAGAGAGCAATCTACAATGAAATGGAGGGGGGGGGGAACCTACTTAATAGGGGTGAGAGCCAGTTTGGTGTAGTGGTTAAACCACCAGGCTAGAAACCAGGAGACTGTGAGTTCTAGTCTACCTTAGGCACAAAGCCAGCTGGGTAACCTTGGGCCAGGCCAGTCTCTCTCTCTTGGCCCTAGGAAGAAGGTGATGGCAAACCACTTCTGAAAAATGCTGTCAAGAAAAGTGCTGGGGGCAGTTATCAGGAGTAAAAAAGGAGTTGAAGGTACAATTCTTAAGTGGGTATGTGACATACTATTGTACTTTCTAGTTTCTGTATTTTAATTAAGAAATACTTATCAATTTTAATACGTTGCTTTTACATGTAGAGTCCTTGGTGCTCTCTGAGCTTGGTTGTTTGCTTCAGAAAACCCCACACTCACTCCCACTGAAGATGTTACCTAGTTGGGTAATGAAATGTCTGCAAGCAAACAGCAAAGCTCAGAGAGCACCAAGGACTCCACAGTTCAGCCCTGAGCTACAGGTATTCCCTGCTATTACATGTACTTGCAATTTACTCATATACTCATATTGTGGCACACAAATTTGTACTTGCTTCAGGAAAAGCTGGACAAAGTATTATTTTCCACACACATGTCATAAATTAGAGGGGACATTGCTTGTAGTCCTCCGGATATTGAAGTACAGCTCCACTGATGGTTCAGATACCAAGGTGGTTTCCCCCCAGAGGTGGAAGGGGATCCCAACTTCTGCCCCATTGTCTACCATTGTTATGTTCTAGTTGATATTCATTGGAAGGAGCTCTCCAACTATCTTGACTGATCAGAATTCTTTTTCTCAGTGCATTTCCGTTCCTTTATCTGCACAGGCAGGTAGTTTCTGCTAGGGACTGTCAAACATTTATGTACTTCAGGGGAGTGATGTGGCACTGCATAGTGACCATGGAGGATGGAGACAACCCAGGGATTGGCAACTGTTTCAGATGCTGCTTGGTATCTAAAATGGTATGGGTGTACAATGGTATGATTATGTGCCATCAAGTTGTTGCTGACTCTTAGTGACCACATAGATCTTCTCCATGACCACAATGGTGTAGGTGGAAAAAATAAATGTAAGTATGAAAACTGGCTGAAATCTCGTAAGATCTCCAGATGATTCCAGATGTTGACAGTTTTACCCCTTGAAAGCTCATGCAATTTCAACTTTTTTTTTTTTTTTAGACATCCATGAAAGTCATCTGGGCATGCTGCCATATTGCTGGTTATTTATATAATCTGAATGGCTTCTTATTTCCTCCAGGCCTGTATTTCGTGTATGGACCGGTACGTTTCCCCCAGTTTAATATACATTCATAAACATTGTAATTGGATCGTTTTGAAATGCAATACATCCAAATTTCTCTTTGATACAGGGCCAATGTCATGCATTAGCATAATTGGGGCACTTCGGAGGATCAGAAGGACCCATTATTAATATGTTTGCTAACAAGACTGTTGGTAGCTGAATTCCTTGCATCTATTGCCTTCATAGATATAAGATGGAATTGCTACTTGCAGATCTTCCCTTCTCCAGATGTCTATATTAAATAGATGGCATTTGTTACTGGAGTCAAGTCAATTTTCAGTTTCTCTTTATAATGACAGTTTCTATATCACTTTCTTCCAAATGTAATTAAAGATGCCAAGGCTTATGGTTGCACATATCCTGCTAGACTATGCTACAATAGGGTTGGGTATTTTGTGGTTCAGTATATCGTAGGAACCCAGCCACCATCTTGTTTGCAAATTAAGCCATTGGAGTAGGCCCATAATAAAGTTTCCTTGTTTGTGCATATTGTTTGAGCATGGCAATTATATTTTGTTAACCCAGGTTTAAGATCAAGTGTATTGTGTGATCCCAGCCATGGAGACATGATTATCCAATCATGTTTTGGACATCTGTCTTCGGTGAACCCAGATAATTTTGATAAAACATTGTTCACTTAATCACAGATAAACTTGTCTTGCAAACACAGCCCATGTCTGGCCTTGCATTTGAGTGAAAGCTACAAAATGGGTAGATACTGAGCTTTAACATACACAGCCACAAATTTCACTTCCAAGCTACACACAGTGGGAAGCTGCAATTCTAAGATTTCTGGTACATCCTGGTACCACCATTTTGACAAAGGTTAAAAATAATAATTTTTAAAAATCTGATGTAATGGGGATTTGTTGATAATGAAGCTCAAGCTCAAGCTCAGATATTTTGGCCACCTAATGCGAAGAGAGGACTCCTTGGAAAAGACCCTGATGCTGGGAAAGATTGAAGGCCAAAGG